CCCAGGGCCTCCTCTGACTCACATTTTTCTTGGAAAAAGTCACTTGTGACTTCCAGGCCATAATGAGAGACATCCCTGGCCAAGGGGCTGAGCCCGCCTCCTGCCCTGATTCACACCCCGGCGACAGGCGGGATGTGGCATCTGGTGTCTGGGACCTGGGGCGTGTCAGGCTCGGCCATCCCTGCCCTTGAGTGCACTGGTGCCTGGAACTGGTGGCCACAAAGGTGTCTTCTTCAGCTCTCCGGCCTGGTGTGTGGGGCAGGTGGCCTGGGGAGAACCCCTCCTGGGCCATCTTGATCAGAGAATAACAGGTGGCGGTCGTTAGCAAGGGCTTTCTGTTTATGAGGACATCACTGTGTCAGCTCTGGTGACCCTGACGCCGTCCTGTGAGGTTGCTGCTCTACTTACCTGCCCCCACCCCGCAGCGTTTCCCAGGAATGGAAATTGAGGCACCAGTGTCTCAGTACAGCTGCTAAATGGTAGGACCGGGATTCCCCCCAGATGTCTGGTTCCAGCCAGGATCATGTATCCCTCACCCTAGGGACACTCTGGTCATGTTCCCCTCTTGTTCTCCCCTGAGACAGGTCTCACTGTGTAGCTCAGGCTGACCTCAAACTCACAGTGATCCTCCCGCCTCAGCCTTCTAAGTGCTGGGATTACAAGCTTGTACCACTATGCGAGGCTTGTGGTCACAGTCCTTTAGTGACTCCTGCCTCTCCCAGCCGGAGCCTACAGTGGAGGAAGTCATGTGTGGGGAGCCAGGCAGGGGAGAGGAGCTGGAGTCTCTCATGGAGAAGAGGACGCTGGCTGTCCCCAACCGCAGGATGGGGCCCTGGAGCAGAGGGTAGACGTGTCCGTGGGTACCGCAGGCCCTCACCTGTGCAGCCCCGTCCCTAGCCTGGCCCACGGCGAGGAGCCCCAGTGTGGGCATGAGGAGTTCATTCCACAAGAAACAGCAGGTCTCCTACCCTTGGCCACTGTCAGCTTTGCTGGAAGCCAGGACTTTTGAGGACCATCGGGCAGTTGTCCCCAGCCCTTCCAGAGCCGCACCACAGTGGGGCAGGCAGCCTGCATGCACGTGTCCCACGGGATGTGCAGCTGAGGAATGAGAGGTGGCGCCTGGAAACGCAGACAGACCAGGTGGTGCTGGGACAGAGGCCTGCAGCTGGGACTGGCGTCCCTCGTACCACACGACCTGCTGCACCTTGTACACCTCTAGCAACAGAGCTCACCCCCTCCCGAGCAGCCTCGATGGTGTCGGGTGACTTGGGGCACAGCTTTGCCCGCTGGAGAAGTCCACTCCAGCCTCGGCTTGTCACCCTGTCAGGGGTCTGACCGCAGGGACCATAACCTCTCCCTGGGGCTGCTGTCCTCCCGGCCCAGCAGGCCTCGCTCCTGGTGGAAGACATTAAGTCCTCCTCTCAAGCACGCTGTCATTTGGGCTTGGCACACAGAGCGCATCTCCGTGCCAGCCAGCGTGGGTCGGGTGGGTCGGGTGCGGCGCTGCGTTGGCAGGGGCTGGAGGGAGCCTGCGATCAATTAGCAGCGTCTGCGGGGGGAGGGGGGGGGAGCAGGGGAAGGTGGCGCGGGCGCAGTCCGTGTCCCTGTCAGGCTCCGGGGTCCAGACGGTGTTCTGCTGCGATCTGACAACTGTCGCAGGCAGCAGGGCTATTTTTGCCTCTGGATTTTATTCAGCAGCGAACGGGCTCCTCAGCCGCATCGAGACTTCAACTCACATTAAGCGTACAGCCAACCAAACAAGTCCCCACGTCTCTGTCCTGTGAACAGCTGTCAAACCAGAGCTTCCACCATCCTGACATGACTTCCATGGTTAGATACAAAATTGATTCAAGTGGGTCCCTTGTTGGTGGGCATTCTGATTACTTCCAGATTTTCCTACTGGGAGACCACACTGCAGTGAAAATCCTTGCATTGAACTCGTCATGCACTGGTCTGATGTCCTGGGTGCGGATTTCTGGGAAGGGGTTGCTGAACCCGGGCATCTTCTGAGAGAGGTGGGCGGCAGCCGCCTGACTGCCGGAGAACATTCTGAAAGTTCTGAGCTGTCAGGAAGTCTGAGGGGACTCAAACACGTGCCCCACCCCATTCCTGGATGAGAAAGGACCACCCTAAGTCCAACTGCTCCCCATCTTATGATGGGCTGTGTGCCGTGGGGCAGTTGTCCTTTCCCCTGGAAGGAAACTTGGGGAGAGCTGAGATCTACTCAGGAAGGAAGCAGGGGCTTAGAGTCTGGAGCTCCAGCCTGTTGCTATGGGAAAAAAACCAGGGCCCTTCGTGAGGGTAGTCAAGCGCTTCCCGGAGTTCAGTTTGATGACTTACTAACTAGTACTGTGTCACAGGTGTGCTGGTTTAGACTCCGCCCCGCAGTCTGCAGTCTGCAGTCTGACCCACTGCTGTGTGGACTTGTCAGCCTGGGGCCTTTTCCCTTTCACACATGACCTTTTCAGGATGAGGAGAAGGATCACAAGTCCCACCTATCCTGGGCAACAGAGTGAAGACCCTACCTCAAAAAAAATGAGGCTGCGTTACGGGGATCACAAGTTCAAGCCCGATCTAGGCAACGTAGAGACGTAGTGAGACCCTATCTCAAAATACTAAGAAAAAGAGAGAAGAACTAGGGATGTATTGCTGGGAGAGGGCCTGGGATTCGATTCTCAGTCCTGCAGAATCAAAGAAACAAATCAAAACTTGAAAAGGGTGGTGATGTGACTGAGTGTGAAGGCCCTGGTTCAATCCCCAGTGCTGCCAAACTAAGGTAAAAAATTAAAAAGGGCTGGAGATGTGGTTCAGTGCGAAGGCTGTGGGTCACTTGCTTCCCTGTTCTGAGCAGGGGCCCCCAGGGAACGGTGGCAGCTCTCACCTCTCCCCGCAGCTGGGGCGCAGTGCCCTGTCCCCCGTACACAGCTGTGTTCAGGCCGGAAAGCCTGAGGGATGGCTGAGACCCTGATGTCAACAGAGGTGGATATTTTCCTTCCGCTGGGCTGGGCTGGTCAGTCAGGACCCAGCCCACCCCTGCCTGCAGGGCCCCCTGCAGGCCGCCCAGGGGCTCCTGGGACTGGTTGCAGGGACAGCCGGGAAGGCCCTGGCTGCCCTGCGTTCCCCAGCTGACGCAGTGTTGGGACACTGCCTTATGTGCAGGCTGGCTGCGTCCCTCCCATGCAGGACTTGGTCTGTGGCCGGGCTCTGCCCTGGGGTGCACACATCCCTTCAGCTGACAGCGGTTGCTACTGTGGGCCGCTCTTCAGCACTGTGGCAACAGTCTGTCCCGTCCCTCCCACACGCTGAGCTCGAAGGGGTGTTGGAGGGCCTGGAGAGGCACCACTGGCTCTTGGGATGCACGTGGACTTCCTGGCACTCCTGGGGGTCATCCACAGCACTAGTACTGTGGGAAGAGAAACAGGCCCGGAAGTGAGAGGCAGCTCACTCCAGCTCACTACCAGAAGTGGCGCCTGGCAAAATACCTCATGTCCGAGGAAGGCCTCTGTTATGCTTTGCTCCTGTGGATGTGGTGGGCTTTCCTGCTGTCTGTCCCCATGTTACAAGCTGTAAGGTAAACAGCAGAGGTTTGTACCCGTCCCTGGTGCCTGCCCAGTACTCGGAGCTCTTAACTCCAGGATTTCCCTCCCAACCTGTGCCCTGGTTTCTCGCTCCAATGCCTTCCTTCCCAGGAGTTGACACTTGGCAGCTGGTCACCCCAGGCCCTGAGGAGCCGTGGGGACAGAGGTGGATCCCGGGCAGGGGCAGCAGTTGGCTGCAGCTGTTGAGTGCCAGGCGACCCCACCGGCTACAGAGGCGGTGTTGGGGCAGCACCGCAGCCGCGTGGGGCCTGCGCCCTTCCTCCGCTGTGTCGCTTCCGGTGAGACCTCACCCTGATCCACACCAGAGGGTCTTTAGTGCTGCAGCCTGAGGCCAAGTGACCTCAGGGGGCCAGGGACCCTGCCAGGGAGATGAAAAGTGGTCGGGAACTTGTTGCTGAAGGTCTCTTTCTGCTCTCACTCTGAGCTGGAGAGTGATTTGCAGCAGAAACCGATACCTGCACAGGAGAGAATCTTCCAAGTTCATGGCTCGGGATGAGTCAGCCTGCCGTCCCTCTCGGTCCCTACCAGCTGGCCCCTCTTCTACTTGGATGTCAGCCTGGTGGTGGGGACAGAGGCAGCCAGGCAGAGGGGAACGTTGGGTTTCAGGCTTCACTGACTGGGCCTTTGCCCAGTCCTCTGTGAGCTGCTCCTGTGCCCCTGGCAGTGCTGAGGAGCCTCATTTTGATCCCCTGCATGCACAGCGGGAGTTCGTGGTTCTTGTGCAGGCTGGTTTCATACTTAGAGAAAGTGCTGGAACAGTGCACTCATTTCCAGGCCTACCGTAGCAGATACCCTCTGCCGGGGGCTTGACTCACACACTTGTTACTTCCTGGTTCTGGAGGCTGCAGGGCCAAGATCAAGGTGTGGGCTTCTTTGGTTTGTGGGAAGTGTATCTCTGTATCTCACTGCCTTCCCTCTGTGAGTATCCATGTCTGGATCTCCCTGTTGGAGGAACTGGTCATGTGACAGAAGTGCTGGCCTAGTGATGCCTCTGACTTCCCTGTCTGAACACGGTTTCTGCAGATAGAGTAGTCAGTGGTGTGTTTAAGCCAGGCAGTGGAGAGAAGGTGACTAGATCCACTCATTGGCCTTTACTGAGCACCTACAATGGGCGGGGCTCTGCTGTAGGTGCTGGGCGTCACCAGCACCCCGTGGGTCTACACCCCTGTTTTGAGGAGCTGACATTCTTGCACGTGAGATGGGCAGTAAACAAAACTGACAGATGTTAAAGGGTGGCAAGTTGTACAGAGCAGACTAGATCTGAGTGCTGCCCAGGGCAGGGGGCTCTGTACCATCCTTCTGGGCGGGGCAAGGAAGGAGGCAGAGGCTCCTCCCAGCTCCCCATGCCCCAGGCTCTGGCTTCCCACTCACCAGAAGCATCTTCCTTTCTCTCCTCTGCAGTGTGGAGGGTGAGGCACCCAGCAGCGAGACCACCACATCCCTGGACAGTCCATCGGCCTACCACCAGGGCCCCTTGGTGTCTGCCTCCAGCCTGAGCCCAGACCACTACGAGCACGCATCCGTGGGTGCCTATGGGCTGTACTCGGGGCCGCCGGGGCAACAGCGCGCGCGGAGGCCCAAGCTACAGCACTCGACCTCCATCCTGCGCAAGCAGGCCGAGGAGGACGCCATCAAGCGCTCACGCTCACTCTCCGAGAGCTATGAGCTCTCCTCGGACCTGCAGGATAAGCAGGTAGGTGGGACACAGTGGCGGGTGGGTGTGGGGCAGGCCTGCCCAGCTGGGTGTCCTCCCTCTCTGACAGCGGAGGTGTAGCTCAGCCATCCCCGTCATCACTGTTGGCGACAGGCTCCAGCTCGGGTGTACATGCCAGGCACCTGCCCTCTGTGTCCTGGGAGAGCACTGGGCCCAGCCTGGCTCTGGCTGAGATGTTTAAAGGGGTAGAGAAGGCACCCGGCTGTTGGACGCCCCTCCTGGGCACTCACATGGAATCCTCCGCAAGCAGCACCTCCAGTGCTTTCCTTGTCCCTTGGGGCTGGGGTCTGGGCCCAACCTCACCAGGACATGCAGGTCACAGGGACGAGCTCCAGCAGAGAGGGAGGGAGTTCCCTCAACCACATAAATAGTGCAGATGCTGAAAGGACACCAAGGGTGCCCAGGGCAGCGCTGGCCAGGCTGCTGGCTCTGTCCACCCTGGCTGTGACTCTGGGGTTCTGGGGGGGATGCTCACTGAAGGTGGCTGTCCTTCCCCGGGGCTGAACTAGAGAAGTGGATGGCAGAGACCCTCATGCGTGGACACACACAGGACCAGAGGCAGCACCTTGGGACTGAGGGGCAAGGGGAGTGTCCTGTCCCTGCGGAGGAAGCGGGAGTCCCCGGAGGCAGAACCCACGTGGAGTGGGCCCACAGTGGGGCCTGTGATAGGAGTCCTATTGTGAGCAGACAGACAGCGCGTGCATGGACTGGTGCTGGGCATGTCTGTGAGCAGCGGCCGGCTTCCCGAGCTTGTGGCCTGACGCTGACCACCACCCCTGCCTGACTCGAGGACCTCCCCACGGCCGCAGACACCATGCCGCAGAGTCCAACCTGCCCTCATCTGTACCCGCCCCACAGCCTGGCCGCCCTTTTGGCCCTATAGGAGCAGAGGTCCCAGCTGGTGTGGCCCTGACTCCCCAGGGAGCAATGGGGTCCTCCCCAGCGGGTTCCTCTCCCAGGCAAAGAGCCCGCTGCCTCCTCCTTCGCTGCTTGTGAGCCCTCGCCAGCCTGCCCTGAAATCCCGGCAGCCCTGCCCACCTCCCTGCATCGCCCTGCACCTTTCCCATGAGCTGACACTGGCGAGGGCACAGCAAGCAGTCAGAGCCTCGTAGCAAATGGCCCCCTGCACTTGGTGGCCCTTGTCCCTGTGGCCAGGCCAGCAGCAGAGCAGGACAGTCTCTGTTGCATTTGTCACCTGCCCCGGTCCAGAGGGGCTCACAAAGAGAACTATGAAAATAGAAATGGGAAAGGTTGCGACCTCACACAGGCCTGTGGGATAATTACATGCTGAAGACAGGCCTGAGCCAGCGGCCGCTGCTCCCCGCCGCATGTGCATGCGTGTGAGCCAGTGCCCACCGTCACCAGACCCTGGGCTGTATGTGGAGCGGATGGTAGGCAGCCAAGACTGCTGCTCATGAGGGGGGGGGGGGGGGGGGGGTGGGCATGAGCAGGTTAGCAGTCCAGGGACAGTCCCATTCCAGAGCACAATACAGACTGGAGGGATGATGAACTCCAGAAGGGACATGGAGTGACCCTGCATGGTGGCAGTGCCAGGTAAGGGTGGTCATCATGAGCACTGGGCTTCTGGGAAGAGGTGACCACAGGTGCAAAGGCCCTGAGACAAGGACAGACACAGAGGCAGGAGGCTATACTGCCAGCCTTGCAGCATTCTATGCTCCCCTGAGCTTGTGCCCTGAGCTTCCCGGCAAGCAAGGCAGAAGTGAGAATAGGGCAGATTGCAGGAACTGCCTGGTGAGGTTCCCAGTTCCACGAGGGGTTAAAGTCTGGGGACACAAAGTCCCACTGTAATGTAGCGGGCATTGGGTTGGGTATGTGCTGCACACAGATTTGGGAAGCACTCAGGGGAGCAGGATGACAGCTTGACTTGCGAGGTCCAGGGCCAGCAACAGAGAAGAGTGCTTGTAACACCCAGGATGGCAGGCACCCCTAAAAAGAGGAGGCTCAGCCTCAGGTCCCTTGTAAGCTCCACGGGCTTTCTGAGCACCACTTGCAAAAACCTTGAAAATAGAAACCTGCTACATACAGATGTGGGAGTGAGGGATCCTCTTTGGATGGTGTCTAGCATTTCAGAGCAAGAGAGAAAACCAGAGCTGCCCTGGCTGCCTGGTAGGGCGTGGAAAAGTAATTGGATCCTGTCCTCTGCCCGGGACACTGCCCTCCTGCAGGCCCCAAAACAGCAGGCGTGATTGTGTTTGGCGAGCTCTCCAGCCTGAACCTTCTCAGCTCTAGCACCTGGAGACCCTGCCCTCCTTTTGCTCCCTGCAGACCGGAGTGCAGCTGCAGCACTGTCTTTCTAGCTCAAGAGCAAGACACAGGGGGAAGGGTCCCTCGGGCTGTCCTGGTGATGGGTGGGCCCACGAGAGCCCCTGGTCCTCTACAATGCTGGCTGCACCCTTTGTCTCCACAGTCACCGAGGCAGGTGCCTACAGGCCTGATTGGCGCTAGGTCTCTTCTTCGGGCCTTAGTTTTCCCATCTGTTCAGTGGGGAGGCTTGAGGGCCTCCACAGATGTAAACAGGGTTACCCCTGTGCCTGGCCTGTGCTGAACACCTTGTGTCCATCTCAGCAAAGGCTTGCCAGAGTCCTGCGCGGAGGGTGTGTTAGTCCCTGTGCAACCCCATTCAGCAGATGAGGAGACAGGGTGTTCGAGTTCCAAGCTCACCCATGCCCATCCGGCTAATGAGAGAGGAGCCCAGGTTGACACCTGGCACTCACTAGCCTTGACCGTCCTAGCCATCAGCCTCAGGGCATGCTGGGACCTCTGGCAGGCATCTTAACCCGCAAGTGCCTCAGGTTCCTGTTTCCGGAGGCGCTGGCTTGAGCTATTCTAGCATCTCCAGGAGCGTTTTCATTACCCTGGAAGCCACAGTGTGCCAGGACTGAGACTCCTGCCCGAAAGACATTTGGGACTCTTGGTGCGCTGTATCCAGCTGCCCCTCCCCCACCTGCCTCAGTACTGGGGATAGAACCCACAGCCTTTACATAGAGCTATATCCCCTGTCCCTTTCTAAAAGTTTTAAAATTTGAGACCATCTCATTAAATTGGCCAAGCTTCAATTTATAATCCTCCTGCCTCAGCCCCTCCCAGAGTGCTGGGATTATAGACATGTGCCACAGCTCACTTCAGCCTGAACGTGGTACTTCATCTTATTGGACCTTGGAACCCATATTTAGGCCCCTTCCCGGCAGCTCCCGGCACTTATTTCACCCACCTTTGGGGTGCACAAAGACCGTTCTGGTTGCAGCTCGAGGTCTGAGAAAGAGGGTAGGTGTGATGTAGGCCAGCACCTGGGGCCGCCCACACCCTCTGCTCCTTCCCCAACAGGTGGAGATGCTAGAACGCAAGTATGGGGGGCGCCTCGTGACCCGCCATGCGGCCCGCACCATCCAGACAGCCTTCCGCCAGTACCAGATGAACAAGAACTTCGAGCGCCTGCGCAGCTCCATGTCGGAGAACCGCATGTCGCGCCGGATTGTGCTGTCCAACATGAGGATGCAGTTCTCCTTCGAGGGGCCCGAGAAGGTGCACAGCTCCTACTTTGAGGGCAAGCAGGTCTCGGTGACCAATGACGGCTCCCAGCTGGGCAGCCTGGTGCCCCCTGAATGCGGGGACGTGGGCGAGCCGGTCACCCTCAAGTCCCCGGCCGCCTCCAGCGACTTTGCGGACGCCATCACAGAGCTGGAGGACGCCTTCTCCCGGCAGGTGAAGTCACTGGCCGAGTCCATTGACGATGCCCTCAACTGCCGCAGCCTGCACGCAGAGGAGGCGCCAGCCCCAGACACCGCACGGGCCCGGGACACCGAGCCCAAGGCAGCACTGCACAGCATGGACCACCGCAAACTGGATGAGATGACAGCCTCCTACAGCGACGTCACCCTGTACATCGATGAGGAGGAGCTCTCGCCACCTCTGCCCCTCTCGCAGGGCGGGGACCTGCCTTCCAGCACCGAGTCGGACCTGCGGCTGCGGGCCGGGGGTGCCGCTCAGGACTACTGGGCCCTGGCCCACAAGGACGACAAAGCCGACACGGACACCAGCTGCCACAGCACGCCCTCACTGGAACGGCCCGAGCCACGGCTGCGGGCCGATCACCTCCCGCTGCTCACCATTGAGCCACCCAGCGACAGCTCAGCTGACCTCAGTGACCGCTCCGACCGCAGTTCGCTCAAGAGGCAGAGCGCCTACGAGCGCAGCTTGGCTGGTGGGCAGCAGGGCAGCCCTAAGCACGGCCCTCACAGCGGCCCCCCCAAGGTCCTCCCCCGGGACGAGCCTGAGCTGCGGCCCCGGCCCCCCAGGTCCCTCGAGAGCCACCTGGCCATCAACGGCTCGGCCAACCGGCAGAGCAAGTCAGAGTCGGACTACTCGGACGGGGACAACGACAGCATCAATAGCACGTCCAACTCCAATGACACCATCAACTGCAGCTCCGAGTCCTCCTCGCGGGACAGCCTGCGGGAGCAGACACTCAGCAAGCAGACCTACCACAAGGAGACCCGCAACAGCTGGGACTCGCCGGCCTTCAGCAACGACGTCATCCGCAAGCGGCACTACCGCATCGGCCTCAACCTCTTCAACAAGTGAGTCCCCAGCGGGCGAGCTGGCCGCGCCGGGGGGAGCCTTCCTTCACCACTGTCCTGAGGTGGGCTGCAAGCCAGTGTGTGAGGGCGGGGCAGTGTCTGAGTGGGAGACCCAGACCAGTGGCCTCGGGTGACAGATGCTTACAGGACAGGACAGACGGGCAGAGTAGGGGCTTCCCGGTGGGGTAGAAAACTCCCACCTGGGGCCCAGCCACCACATCGACCCTGGGTCCCACAGCCGTGAGGTGCGTAGGGCCATGCAGGCCCAGCCTTGCATGTCAGGCTGAGGGGCCCAGACCAGGTCTGGGTCTGAGGGGGCCTTGGCCAGGCTCAGGCTGGACCCAGGGAGTCCAGGGGCCCCGGCAGCTGGCCCTGAGCTGGGGGCAAGGCTGAGGACAGTGGTTTGGGGAGCTGTGGGGTTGTGCTGCTCCCCAGGGGCTCAGCGGAAGTTGCTTCTGGGCAGCCCCAGAGCAGGTCCCAGGAGGGAGGAGGAGGAGGAGGAAGAGGGTATTTAAAGTAGACTATTCTTAGCAGGGCTGAAAATAGCAAGGGGAAGGGGAGGAGGGCCAAGCCGCCCTCCGGGACCTTGGCAGGCTCATGGGAATCCTGAGATTTCACATTATTTCTAGCCCCAGGGCCTCTGGGATCTAGGGTCATCAGACACCAGCCAGGCACGGATTCCCCCAGGGTGGGGACGTGACCAGCCTTGTATGGCACTTCTCCCAAAGGCCCCAAGAACAGCATGGCCAGTAGTGTGGCTGCTTCCAAGGGGCTAGGGAGCCTCAAGGCTGCTCTGGAGGCACGTTTGTGCAGACGGAAGTGCTTGGGGGTAGGAATGGAGCACGCACGGCTCTGTCCCGGAATCTGACCACAGTGCTCCTGGGCACTGCCACCTCCAGGGCCACCTCGAAGCCAGGCCCCTGCTCTCTGAGGAGATAAGGGGATCCCAGCAGTGGGACTGTGGTGGCTGAGGAAGAGTCCCCTTCAGCCGACCCTCTCTGGTCTCTGCCCACCCTCCTTCTGTCACTTAACTACATGGATGGCACAAGGAGACATTCTGCTTAGTGATAGCCTTGAGGTTCAGGGGGACGTTGAATAACCAACGTCCAAAATAGCCAATAACCTTTGGCTATTTTGGAGCCTGCCCCTTCCAAACCTTTTTTTTTCTGGCAGTACTGGGGACTGAAGGGCTTTCCCACTGAGCTCTTCCTGCCTCAGCCTCCGAGTAGCTGGAATTACAGCCCTCCAGGTCTTTTTGTGTGTTTGCTTGGTGCTTTAGGAACAGTAGCCAACCAGCGTGAGGAACACAGCCCTGAGGCCAGGCTTGCCTACTTCCTGTGAGAGCACCTTCAGGCTGCCCGTCAGTACCTGCATCTGCAAGATGGGGCAAAGCCAATGGCGCCTTTCCCATAGGCTGAAGCGAGAAGCACTGGTGTGTGGGAACCGAGGATGACCTCTGTGTGCATTTGCTGCTGTCACTGGGTCCTGTAGCATCATTAGCAGGCCACTGGGCATAGTGCTTCCTCTTTCTCGTGGCATTGGGCGTGTGGACGTGCCCCTGCACACTGTCCCCAGAGAGTCCCCAGGAAGACAGCTAGGGAGGAGCTGTGGGGTCTCAGGCAGGCACACTTAGTTGAAGCGGCAACTGCCAAGTTAGTGTTTAAGGGGTCCTGGCCCCTTTCTCACCCTCAGCCACGGGGTTTGATGGTGCCTGCCCTTTCCCACGCCTGTGTGCACTGAGTATTACCTTTTCCCTCTATCCCATGGGGACAGATGTGTCTCTCTGTCATTTGAAGTTGATTTTCCCTGCTCACTTCAGAGGTGCAGCTTCTGTGGGTGTCTTTCGGCCCTTTGAATTTTTTTTGTAAAACATCTGCCTGTTTTTCTACTGGCTTTTTGTCACCTTTGAAGACACTATATTACCGGGGGCTGGAAATGTGACTTGTTTATAATTATGGATACTTTGCCTTTGGATTTTCTTTCTTGTTATTTTTTAAGAGTTTATCTTTGGCATATCATCCACTCTGGAGAGGATGGACTTTACAAACAGTAACCAGCTGAGTGGTACCTTTTCGTTTTGTCTCTGCTGTTGTCTGATGGAAGCATTGAATTTTATTTCCTGAAGTCATCAGGGTTGTGTGTTTTAAATTTACTTCTCTTTTTATGCTTTGTTTTATGTCGTTCGTGTATTTGGCAGTGTTGGGCGTGGAACCCAGGACCTTGTGCATGCCTGGCAAGTGCTTGCCTCCGTCACCACACCCCTAGCTGCTTTGTGTCTTATTCTGAAAGATTCTGTTTCTGAGTCCTAACACGGTCTTGGAATTTTGTCTTTAGTAATTTCATAGCTTTGTTGTACACACAGTAGGACTTGAATCTGGAGTTTCTTTAGAGAAAAAAAGTGAGGGTTACACCCTGTGAGTTGGCCATTTGCACCCCAATGACCCTGCTTCGGTGCCTGGCATCGGAGACTGCCACCTACCCTGCCCTGGCTCTGTCTAGGCCCTCTCCTCCCTCAGCAGGTCCTGGCTGCACCCCAGGTACACACACCTGGCACTGTTACAGGGACCCAGGACACATCTGCGCACAGAATAAAGGTCCCCAGGAGTGCCACGCAGTGGCTAAAAGATCTGGGTGCTGATTCTGCCAACATCAGACGTTTTTAAATTTTTATTTATTTACTGGTGCTGAAGATCAAACCCAGGGCTCTCTGCATCGTTGGCAAGCACTTACTGAGCTGACCCACAGCCATCAGATTTAACCGCTGCACTTTTACATATTTTATTAGGACAAACATCTCTCCTTTGTTGTTTTTAGAAACTCCCTTGCTTCTTGTGGACATTGTTCCACAGGAATTTTAGAGTCAGCTCCTAAAGAATCCTGCTGACAGGAGTTGTCCTCCCAGCAGGGGCTCCCTGGCCACCTGTGGTCAGCAGGGGCCACGCTGGGGCAGTGCAGATTGGAGGGGACCCATCTGCAGCCTAGGTCCTTGGGATGAGTCCAAGTGGTATCTGCAGGACTCCCTTCCCGCAGAAGCTGGGTGCGGGTTTGTGTGGAGCAGACCCTGAGCCCTGGCCAGATGCCCAGCCCAGCCCTGCTCCAGGCTCAAGTTTCCCCCTTGGCCCTGTGGGGTCCTGATGCCAGCTCAGGAGGTGCTGGGAGGATTCACCAGCATCTCCTCCTGCAGACTTGGAGCCTTTCCATTTCCAAAGCCCGCCCATTGCCCTGTGCTCACTGCCAGGGCGCCCTGGACCCTCTCGGAGGCCCAGAGCTGCTGGCCAGTCACCGGTCAGGGCGTGGAGCCCCAGGTCTCCTGCAGCGATGGGGCAGAGCTGGCCGCTTGAGCCTTGCAGGGCTGGGCAGCAGCGCGTCTGGTTTGCGTAGTGGGCCCCGAAGCTGCAAGCCAGGGCTCTGCTGCCCATGCTGGGGCCCCATCCTGCTGTACCCTCTCCAACCCACTCTCACCCGTCAGGCCCCCATCACCACCCCTCCTAAGCCCCACCTTTGTCCACACCCCCGCCTCCCCCCATGCAGCTTAGTCCCCCCTTCCAGCAGAGAGCCTCCCCTGCAGCCTTTGCGCCTTCCTGGTCAAGTGGAGTGAGCACCCCATCTCTGAGGAGCATGAAAGCATCGCTTGGGTGACCACCTGAGGTGACAGTGTGGTAGGACTCCTGTAAGGGATGGGAGCCATGCACGGGCCTCTGCATCCCCGTGCAGGGCGCTGTGCTTGGAGGCAGCTGGCCCTCCACCCCTAGTGCCCACCCTGCCTGCTGGAGCTGCCGCAGGGCTGAGGCAGAGCCCCACAGGGACACTGGGTGATGCTCAGAGACTGGTCACCCTCCAGCACTTGAGGGTCCTCCTGCTTCCCCATCCCCAGGGGGCGAGGGTCCAAGGATGCCAGGCTCGACGAGGCCCAGGGCCGGTGCTTGAACACAGTTCGCTGCCAGGGCCTGTGGTGCTGGTGGTTTAACAGGCGGCTCTCTGGGGAGCCTGGGGGGCTGGGTCTCTGGAAATCGGGGTAGCTGTCATTAGACCATAGCCCTGGGTGCCATCAGAGCCTGGGATCCCTAGTGCTGTCCTGACCTGGACATCTGGTGTCCTGGGGCTGAGTGGCTGGAACCCCACAGGGTTCCAGCCACTTCCTTCCACCCAAGGAAGACCTCAGCCACAGTCTGCTTGGCCCCCACCATCAGGAAGGGCTGTGTGAGGGTCAGAGCTGGGTGGAACCCCTGGCCCTGCATGTACGGGCAGGTGCAGGTGCCTGCGTCCCTGTGGGCTCTGGTGGGTTCCAGCCTACACAGCCCAAGCAGAAGTCACTTCCAGGGCAGCTGCAGGGTGCTTGGAAGTCTAGCCTTGGTCATGTCCCTCTGCGGGTTTGCAGCCTACCTGGCTCATGGTAGAGACAGGAGCCCATCACATGGGTCTCACCAGAGACTGCTGGCATGGGCCTGGAAAGCCCAGAGGTATCTTCCCCAGGGCTGACCCTATCTCTTGAGAGGGTTGCCTGAGCTCCCTGGCCCAGCCTTGGGACAGTCCCTGCAGGAAGCAGGGTTCCCCTCCCCCATGGCTCCTTCCATCACTCTTCCTGTGCTCCATAGGAGGCAGGCTCTGACTGGCCGGTAGCTGAGTGACGTCAGCCTCTGGGTCACGAGGACACAGCTCAGGGGTAGGGTGGATCATCCAGAGGTGCACAGTGGCCACTTCCACTTCTCATAGGGTGAACCAGGACAACCCATCCTTCCCCAGAAAGTGGGGCTGATCACTCAACCAGTAGGTGTTCCTTGAGAAGCACAGAGCTGCTCTTACCCAGAACCTTCCGTAGCTCACTGTTGACCCCGACAGTTCACAGTCACTTTGGATGTGAGATGCACAGAGGGAAATGACCAATTACTGTCTGTGTTTTCTATGACACTTAACTCTGAGTTAACATCAGATGTCTAAAGCTGGCTCAGCCAGCACGGAGGAGGACGCCAATCCTGGACCAGAAGCGGACCACGAGAGCAGGGCTATGAGCTGGCTGACTGCTGACCGCCTGCCGGGCGTCCCAGGGACACAGCAGGCCCAGGTGCAGATGGCCAAAGCTGCTGTCAGCACCTTCTTGATGCTTGGTGCTTCCAGGGTGCAGCTAGGGAGATAAAGAAGGGGAAATGGAGGTGCAGTCAGGAAGGTGTGGGCAGGGTTTTCAGTGGTGATGCAGAGGAGGACGGAATTTTTAGGGGCTTCCCAGGGCAAAGGAGTGGTTAGAACCCGGGCAGTGTTTATGCAGAGGGATACCCGCTTGCCAAGCCTCCTTTGTCACTGCCTTGTCGAGGTCACTGTGGCATCACCCTAGTGGGTCTTTCCAGGCCCGGTGTGCTCTGCCCAGCCCTGTGGCCGGCTCAGGCTTGTATGTGTGTGAACTCACCAGTCTCTCTGGCACTTCTTGGTGTGCAAGTGTCCTCCCCCGTGGACACGGCAGGGAAAGGGCCAGTAACTTGCCTGAGGTCCCCCAGCTTGTAGTGCAGGTGAAAGTGAAGCCCAGGCTCCTGGCCATGCCCGGCCTCCTGTGCTGCAGTGCCCCTCCATGTCCTTGGGTTTTACCTGCCTCCTTCGTCACCCTCCAGTGAGAATGCTTGTTTCTCGAGAGCCGGGGCGTGGTTGAGGACATCACTGTGGGGGCGTAGCCCTGGCCCCGAGCAGGCAGCTGGCCCAGGGGACCTCACAGTGATGTGGCCCTGTATGTACATCTCAGTGGCTGAAGCTCATCGCGGGTTCCTCATGGAGTGCTGGGGGAGCATGGCCCCTGGAGGAGGCAGCGGGACTTGGGGGCGGCCCGAGGGCTCGCTGCACTGCGCGTGACACATCGAGTCTGTGGGACACCTGTCCTTGACCAGCCAGCATGGAGCTCTGCAGGGAGCTCGTGGGTGGACAAGCGGCCACCTGGCAGGGCCACCAAGCTGACGTTGGGGTAGGTAGGGCCTCGCAGGGTTGGAGGACAGCAAGGTCCCCAGGCAGGGCTTCCCGCTGGCGAGGAAGCAGGCCATTCCAGGGCAATCCAGAGCTGACCGGCCTCCCCACCTGTCCTCACTGCCCATCTGGACCCCCTGGGCCTGTGGCCCACACACTTTCCTTCCACATCCTAGGCGCTGGTGTGGCCTAGGGACAGCCATGTCCTCCCTTCTGTCCCATCTAGGCCGCAGGCTGGAGCATCCTGGACTCGTGACTCTGTGTCCTTGCCCTTCCTGCCCGAGCCTGCCCGGAGACCCCAGCAGCCTGGCTGTCCTCTGCCCTCAGACCACGCCCTAACCTGGGCCCCTTTTCGGCCTGCTTGCTTGCTCCCAGGCGGGGCCCAGCAGGGTCTCCTTGGTGCGGTCAGAGGGAGCTTCATAAGCACAGACACCCGACCCTTCTCTGGCCTGTGCAGAAGGCACCCAGCTTCTGGTCCCACCACCTGCCTCTTCCCCACTCCCCCAGGGCCCTGCCCCAGCCACCTGGGGACAGCCTTGGGGACGCTGGTCCCACAAAACCTGTTCCCCCAACCCAGCCGCTGCTTGGGCTCTGTCCCGTGGCTCTGCCCAGAAGCCTGTGTGGCTCCCGCAGGGTCCCTCCATCATGCAGGCTTTGGCCCTCAGGCTCTGGACTCCCACCTACCCCCGTGCCATGTGTCCACAGCAGGCCCTATCCACTACTGTCGTCCCCAGGGCTCTGTGCCTGGCAGAGCTGACCCCTGGTACCACTCCCTGAGGAGCTGGGCCTCGAGGCCCCGCACCACCTCCCCTTTTCCCCCATGCTCTCGCTGCTGCAGGGCAGAGGAGCCTGTCCCAGAGGCCCTGGGGCCGTGGGGACCTGCAGAGAACACAGGAGGGCTGGGTGGGGGCTGAGCAGGGGATGGAAGCAGAACCTGGACCTGCCACGTCAGCAGCTGTGAGGGGTGACAGTGCCCACTTGGAGGAGGGACCGGGCCGTCCTGGGTCCCTGCCCAGGTGTGGGAAGCAGGGCCCCTCTGAGACCACTGCTGTGCCATGACCCCTGGTTGGTGGCTGCTGCCTGCCAAGCCTTGGAAGTAAGATTCGGGATGTAGCTGTCGTCGGGTGAAAATAGCATAGAGGGCACAGGTGCTGGGTGTGTTCCGGGGCAGAGGGGCCTGAGCCCACAGGCCCTGCCACAGCTCAGGGAAGCACTGGGTCCTGGAGGGGGCACCCAGCTGCTCGCTGCCCCTCAGTGACTCCGAGGACTGAAGACAGTGGGACAGGGAGCCAGTCTGGCAGGGGCGTGGCCGAGCCCTTGGGCTCCCCGCAGCTCCCCGGGTGGTCGGGCGAGCTCCTGAGAAGAGGACACATGGCTTCCCCAGGTCACGCGTGCAGCTGTCTTCAAAGCCCTCTCCTGCCAGCCTGTCTCCTGGCTCCCCCAGCCTGGCTGCCATGTTAGCCAAGGGCAGGACCTTCCAGGAGACAGGCAGCGCACTGGAGCCGAGGGAGGATGAGCCTGCCTGGCTCCTGTGGTAGGAGCGCCACCGCAGGATGGGCACTGCCTCCGCTGGCATGAGCCTCAGGACAAGGTGATGCCCATGGCCCACACTAGCAGGTGCAGAGGGGCTGTGCTCTGTGCCTGTCCTTGGTAGGCCTGGCTCTGCACTTCCTGGTGAGGACACTCGGGCTCTGAGGGGACACAGCCCTGCTGTGCCAGCCTGGCCTCCCACCATGGAGCCCGCTGGCAGGACTGGGCCATGGCTTCGGGCTGGAAGCCCCGGGTCCTTTGGGGTGCTCACTAAATGCTCCCTCGCAGGCCTCACATGGGGCTCCTCCAGGCCTCTCACCAGGGGACATCACAGCCAGGCGAGGTCACATGGCTGCAGGGCTGGAGGCACTGTGGGCCACCAGTGCTGAGCCCAGGAGTGGGGTTCAGGGAATGCCTGGAGGGACACAGGGGCGGCCCAGGAGGGCCTGTTAGCAGGACCTGTGGATGAGGCGCCTCGTGGCCACGCCAGCCCTGTCTAACACAAGGTTCGGGCAGCTCAGAATGAAGGGTTTCATCTCACCCTCACCCCATTTCAGGCTTGGGTCCCGGCACAAGGAGGAGGGACAAGGGCCCAGGGCGGGGGAGGACGGGGGAGGGCGGCACCCAGCACCCCAGTAAGGCTCTGGGCACCGAGCTGAGCACATTTCTCATCTCCCAGGAAGCCTGAGAAGGGTGTGCAGTATCTTATTGAGCGCGGCTTTGTGCCTGACACGCCGGTGGGTGTGGCCCACTTCCTGCTGCAGCGCAAGGGCCTGAGCCGCCAGATGATCGGCGAGTTCCTGGGCAACCGGCAGAAGCAGTTCAACCGCGATGTGCTCGAGTGAGTTCCGGGCTCAGGGCTGCGGGCACAGACCTATGCCACACTGGCAGAGCCATCCCCGGGAGCCCTCGTGTCCCGTGTCACCCCCACTCACAAACACACCTCGCCAGGCATCCCCCTTGGCTGCAGCATCACAGTTGTGCCTTGGGGTCCTGGGGCCGGGTGCCAGGACCCCTGCAGAATCCACACTCCCCGGATGCTTTGGTCCCTTAGGTGACACAGCCTCGTGCCTGCACGTAACCCCCACACACCTGTGTACAGCGCCGGTGTGTATAGATAGCTGTTGTGCTGTGTGACTTAGGGAGTGCTGCACGCCAAGCAGTGTACGTGTTCAGGATAGATGAGGGTTGTCTTTATTTTTCATGGGTGTTTACAATGTGTGCTTGGTTCAATCCGAGGATTCCAAACCAGGGATCCAGAGGGCGACTGCACTACCTCCTGCCCCTGCCTCTTTCTCTTTCTAGGCCCCCCCCCACACACACACACACAGAGGTTTTCACCAATGCGGGTGCTCACATATCACCCCACCCCACTTACACACATGCACGTGAACACAAACTCAGACACACGGGAGACCAAGTGACAGGACCATAGGCGGTGGCTGTCACATGGCAGACCCAGCCCAAGTCTCCTTCCTGGGCCAGATGCAAGCAGCCTCAGCTTCCTTTTGCCTTCTGCACACTCCTCCTCCAGGTCCAGGCCCCCACCGCGTTCTCATGGTAGTCACTGCCCCTCCTCTCCCCGTAGTCTGGGTAATGAGGGGCAGCCCCCGGCCATCCCCAGCAGCCCCTCCTGCACCATGTCCCCCCAGCTGGTTCCTGGTCCCTAGGAAATCCGGGCATTGTCCACCCACTAGAAAACAGCGGTGGCCTCAGGAAGTCGCTAGGCTCCCCCAGCCCATCAGCCAGGCACCCCAAGGCCGCCTGCTCCCTGCCCACTGGTCCTCCCACCACGTGCAGCTGCCCCGAGAGGCCTGCGCCCACTGCCTCAGGAGAGGAGCAGCCCCTGGCGGGGATGAGGCCTTTAGTGACTCCCACCTCTGCAGCCAGGGATGGTGATGGTGGCTGCAGCTCTGTGACAGAGATGATGCCTGGCCCCAGGAGGTGCCTCCACCCTGAGGCCTTGGTGCAGACCTCCCTTCTCTGCACACGGACGCCATGCCTGGAGCGAGATGCTGGGGCAGGGCGTGAGAAGATGGTGGCCCTCAGAACCCGTGTGCTGGCCACTCAAGTTCTGTCCCTGTGGGACAGAGGGTGGCTCAGCTCCCCAAGATGCCCTGGAAGAGACCCCCCAAAACACCCCCCAAGCCCCACCCCACCCCAAAAGCCCAGGCCCTGGGCCTCTATCGTCAGGCTCTTGCGAGCCTTGCAGAGCCCAGGAGATTCAGAGCCCTGTCCTGTGAGCCGGGAAATAGCTACATGAAAGCCAGTCTGCAGGAAGGCCTCCTGTGAACTAAACTACACACGTAAACAGAACACAAGTGTTTCCCGAGGTTTGGGGGTCGACGGGCTCCCAGACCCCTCTTGTGCTTTCTAAAGTGCTTTTTGCTGATTGCAGAGTCTGGGTACAGCCCTCCCTGCCCAGAGACTGCTGCCCCCCGGGTCAGGGGCACACCTGTCTGAATGCACGCACTCAAGACTCTTGCTCTGGTCACCTGATGGGGTGCCAAGGTCCGGGTGTTGTCCCTCAGGCTGGGGCTGCTCACATAGGCCCTGTGTCCCTGTTCCAGCTGCGTGGTGGATGAGATGGACTTCTCTGCCATGGAGCTGGATGAGGCCCTCAGGAAGTTCCAGGCGCACATCCGGGTCCAGGGTGAGGCCCAGAAGGTGGAGCGGCTCATAGAGGCATTCAGGTAGGTGCCCTGTGTGGTGCGGGCTGGGGCATCCCACACTGACTGGGAGGAGAAGGTGCTGCTGTGCAGGAGCCTGCACTGAATCCCCTTCGTCCCTGTACCCTGTGGCTTCCTGTGCTCCTGCCTGGCCCCCGAGCTGGGCCCTCCCTCCTCACAGGCGTGGGAAGTGGATTCTGACTTTGCCCACCTGAAGCTGAAGAGCTTCACACCCCATGCTGCGCACCAGGCCTGGACACCGTCTCCCTCACGCCCTCCTTAGTCACCCCTCCCGGTCACTCACTTGTGACCTGTCCCAGGCCCAGCCAGCCTCACACAGTGACTCGGCACACAAGCTGCAGAGCCAGGTGGCCTGGGTCTGTCGCTGACCGCACCCCGTCCCAGCTGTGTGACCCCATGACTGCTGGGGGGTGGGCATGGGACACTCAGGTCCCCTGCTGTCCTGGCACTCTGGGCTGAGCCCCAGTGGCAGGACCAGGAGGATGAAGGACAGAGAAACAACCCCAAGCCCTGGAGGGACACTGATCTTCCCACGCCAGATATGGTGAAGGCTGAATTGCCACCCCTGCTGGACATCTAAATAGTACACTAAGCAATAGGGCCACTGGAGCTCTGGCCCCTGCTGTACAAAATCCTCATTCACTGAGCTGTCCATGTCCACCGGGGGGAGGGGTGGCAGTGGGAACAGGGAGGGATGTCAGTTGTGACACGGGGAGGGGTCAAGGGGCACAGGCTTGCAGGTGTCCGGATCACATCTGCTCCTGTCCATCAGCTGAGCTCAGTCCCCAGCTGCTCTTTACAGCCGTGCGTCCACTGGGACAGGCAGGGCCAGAGGGACATCTCCACCCAGCCGAGTTCCCCAGCCAAAATGCAGGAGTGAGAGTGGGGAGGTGGGGGTCCCTGACCAGCCCTCTGTGCACCTCCTCCCCAGCCAGCGGTACTGCATCTGCAACCCTGGAGTGGTGCGACAGTTCCGGAACCCAGACACCATCTTCATCCTGGCCTTTGCCATCATCCTGCTCAACACGGACATGTACAGCCCCAATGTCAAGCCCGAGCGGAAGATGAAGCTGGAGGACTTCGTCAAGAACCTCCGAGGTGAGCTGTCCACACATCCGGGCCCCTACTGTGGCCCAGCTCCCAGGGCTGCAAGGACCAAAGGTTTGTGAGATGGAGCTCCACCCCTCATACCCCCCACAGTCCCAGAGTTACATAGGGCCCGGTGCAGCCTGGGGCACAGGTGCTTGTCTCCTGGACGGGACACCTCGCTGCGGGGGAAGTGATGTTCGGTTTGTGCTCCAAGGGGGAAGCTGGCTTACCTTTCCTTCAGGCCTTCCCACTTGATGGGAGCTTGTGAAAGGGAATCCACTATGGGCATTATAGACAGAAGCCCCGTAGCATGCCACAAGGAGAGGTGATTATTAAGATGCCCGCAGAGACAGGAAGCTGTGCTCTTGGGCTCCAGCCACACTGCCTGCCTCCAGCCGCCCTCCCCACCTGTGGGGAGATGACCTGTGACAAGGCCAGCAAGAGGCAAGAGGCCTTCTGCTGCCATCAGAGGGCAGCAGGGGGCTGGGCCGGGCAAAGGGGGAATTGTGTCTGTGTTTCTGTCCCTGGGAAACTCATTGCAGAGCCAACGGTGCGTTCTAGGGACACCAACCAAAGTCCCTCCTGACATCGTGCTGTGTGAAATGGGAGCAAAGTGGGTGGAATCGCACCCCACTTCAGCTTGTTGAGCTCCTCCAGTGCCCAGCCTGCTTCTTTGCCTGTACCTGCAATGGTGTCCTTGGGCAGGAGGACCTTAGGGGCAGTGTCTCCTACTCTTCCCAGCCTTCCTGCTGGGGCTTAAGGGTGTTCTCGTGCGCCACCTGCTGGTGGGGCCGCATTAGCAGGATGGCTTAGGGAACCCCTCGATGTTTTCCCACAGAGGTGAGCAGTGGCCAGGAGCTGGCTGCAGAGCTTGGCTGCAAGGCCTGAGCGGGCATGGCCTGGGGTCCCCACGGCACTCCCTGAAAACTCCGCTCCAGGAAAGAGCGAGGGAGCTGACAGTCTCGGATGGTGCACATGGTGAAGCTGCCCAGGGTCCTCTGAGCCCGGGGCCTCTCTCCCAGGCCAGCCAGTTGCGGTGGTCAGAGAATCCCTGGGAGTCCCTGCGGACAGGGCTGGAAGTGATCAGCCAGAGAGGGGAGGCTCCAGAGGGTCTGGGTCCGGCACTTGGGGTTCCTGCCTTGTGACAGTGGCTTGAGAGTTCATAGCCATCGTCACATGCCGTTTTCCCTGCACAGCAAGCGCTGGGGGGGCCTTATCTTTGCCCAGGCCAAGCGCAGGGGCAGAGCACCCTGATTCTGGGGAGGAGCCCCTGGTTCTGACCCCACACCTGGTGTTCCCACCAAAACACCAGAGCCAGAAACTGGAGCACTTCTGCCCCAGCGTTCTGCCCTAGCTTCCCTGCAAAGATTCAGAGAGGGGTACAACATCCCTGGGTCACAGGGCCAGTGCTGGCAGAGGTGGGTCAGGTCCTGGTGTCGCCCGGCCAGCTGGCCTTCTCAGGGAGGGCAGCCCAGCTAGTTCTTTCTGAGGGAGGCCCCGCCCCAGCCCCGCCAGTGTCCTTGGGACTCACGGGCCAGTTTGCCAGAGGTGGGGGCAGCAGGACAGGCCCGGGCTGAGGGTGGCAGAGAGGGACTCAGCATCCTGGAAGCCTTTTGTTAGAAACCTCACTTTGCTTTTTCCCATTTGTTTGTTTTTGGAACGAGCATTATCTTCACATCATTCATGTCACTTCTCTCATTGCTGAGACCTACGAGTTAAGGGAGAAAAAGTTTGTTTGGCTCACAGTCTGTAGAGGTTTCAGTCCATAACTGGCTGGCTCCAAGGCAAGGTTGCTTGGCAGAGTGGCATTGCTGAGCAGAAGCAGTTCATGGCAGAGCAGGGCAGGCAGAAGGCAGCAAGCAAGCAAAGTAGCAGCAAGCAGTGACCAGTGCCATTAGCCCTCTTTCTGTCCCTTGTATTTTACCCAGGCTGCCTGCCTTTCGGGCGGGCAGCACTCACACCCAGGGTGGGGCACCCTTGTCCTACCCAGAACTATGCCAAACCAATCAGTGGACTAATTTAATAATCATACATCCTGGATCCCAGCATCACACGCCCTAGATCCAGCCACCTCTGAAAAGCCCCACCCATGACCACATGAGGCTTTGAGGGGACATCTAGACACAAACCGTTACAGTTCAAAACCCAGAAAATTATACGAGACGGCAGCCTGGCTTCTGGGGTTTACCCAGAGGACTGAAGACTTAACTCTACTTGTGGAAGTTTCTGATAGCTGTCAGGTCGCAGGAGGGGCCATGCTATGCTTCTACAGGGTGAATAAATGGCGGTGGGGTCACTAGCTGGGTTGTTATTTAGCATTACTAAGAAGAAATTAACCATCCTTTGGGAGAAGACATCAGGGAACCTAGGACCTGTCACTAAATCGGAGAAGCCAATCTGAAGCCAAATGTGGTGGTGCATACCTGTAATCCCAGCACTCGGGAGGCTGAGGCAGGAGGATTGCTAGGAGCATGAGGTCAGCCTGGGCTACCTAGTGAGTTCTAGGCCAACACCCACTATATCGTCTAGTTTTTTTGAGACCCTGTCTCAAAAAGGTGTTTTTGAGCCTTTGAAAGAAAAAAAGAAAAGAAAAGAAAAGAAAAAGCCAGGAAAGGCTGTGTACCATCTGCCCAACTCTGGCATCTGGGGTAGACAAAGCTGGAGCACAGAAAATGCCATAGTAGTGGCAGGGCTGGGAATGAGAGGGGTGAGCAGGGGGTGCAGAGTGGTTTGAGGGCAGGGACACTGCTCACTGTGGTGCTGCAGTGGTGGATACAGGTCCTCACACACCTGTCCGTACCCACAGAACACCAGCGTGCAGAGCAAACACACCTGAACAGGGGACTGTGGGTAACCCCGCACTGGGCAGGTCGTTGGTGTGACAGACTCTTTGGGGTGGGGGCCCAAGTCTGTGGGGCTGTCTGCCTTCTGCTGGATTTTCCCGGGAGCCTATTATTGCTCTCCAAATCAAGCCTGTTTTAAACAACCAGAAAGTCCTAAGTGCTCCATAGCCGAGCTCCTCTCCCTGCCACCCTGCTGCCCAGGTTGCACACTCTGCCCCGGACAGCCGCACCTTTACTCCCGATGTCCCTCAGGCTCCCCTCCCCGGCGGTCACACCGCTGCTTTACCCACTTTGTCTCCGTCTCCTTTTAATAAACCTTGGGAACCAGCCTGCCTGCCGCTCCTGGCCGTTTGCACCAAGCATTCCGTAAAGGACACCAAGCCCAGAGGGACTCCGTCACTACCCACAGTCACACCGCTAGGGACAAAACCAGAGCTCGGTTCCAGACTCACAGGCCCCAGCTTCACAGCCTCCCGTGTCTCAGCCTCAGTCTCCCGTCTGTGGAGGCACTGGGACTATGGTTGGGGATCGAGGTGTGCGTACAGGGCCCCTGGGCACAGCTGAGAAGGTGGCACGGCCCAGGCTGGGCCGGCTGTGGCTCCAGTGGGAACCAAGAAAGGCTTGATCTTCTGATCTGGTTTCGAAGCCAGAGACCGGGGCTGAGCTGAGGGCTGAGGCCAAGAGGAGCTACCGCTGCCCATGGCCCAGCCACCCTGAGCCCTAGCTGCTGTCCCCGCCCAGGCGTGGACGATGGCGAGGACATTCCCCGGGAGATGCTGATTGGGATCTACGAGCGAATCCGGAAGCGGGAGCTGAAGACGAATGAGGACCACGTGTCCCAGGTGCAGAAGGTGGAGAAGCTGATCGTGGGGAAGAAGCCGGTACGCGCTGGGCCCTCGGGCACAGGGTCGCCTGCCTTCGTTCTGGCCCCTGGCAGGCAGAGCTGGCAAGTGACTTCAGGCTGGGCACGTCTGCAGGCTCAGGGAGCTGCAGCTGTTTGCTCCGGGTTGCACTTGAGACCCTGAGGTTCTTAGCGACAGCCTGGCTCTGCCACCTCTGGGCTCTTTCCTTGGTGACCTGAGCCCCCGTCCTTCACAATGCACTACAGTGAGCCCTCCGCCTTGGCCATTCGCTGGCATCCAGGCTGGCAGAGCTGGGGACCTGGTGCCCTGGTGGGGGAGGGGCTGGGCGTCGCTGCGATGCACACCCCTGCTGTCCCCAGGTGCCTGCGGACGTTAACACCCTTCCCTGTGCTCCTGTTTCCCCACAGATCGGATCGCTGCATCACGGGCTTGGCTGTGTGAGTACTGCTGTGCTGCTACCTCTGGCTGCTGCCCACCCACCCTGGGGAGCCTCTGTGTATCCCGATGTGTCCCACCCAGGGCCCTGTGCTCTGGGAACCAGACTTCTGACCGCTGAGCTCACTTCAAGTGACCAGCATTCTTGGTTTCCTGGATCCCTGGACTCACCTCGGGGCCCTGAGACTACACCCACAAGGGAGGGCTCCAGGTCCAGGCCTGCAGTGGAAACTCAGCTGTCACCCCTTGGGGTGGCCTCTGATGGGCATCCGTGCCCCGCCAACAGTCTGCTCCTGGCCCTAGCATCCGGGCCCTGCTTCTCCCAGCTCTGTCCCCACTGTGCTACTGTGACTGCTGCCTGCCCTGTGGCCCTAGAATGTGTGCACACACTAGCCTGGCAGTGTGGGACGTGCCCCCACCCCCAGTACCCCAGCGAGACACCCAGATCCCCACTCTCCTGCCCTCAGCCCCCTGCAGCCCTCATCCCCTCTAGCCGTCCCATTCACACTTCTCTTTCTGGGCACCAGGGTGCATCCGTACGATGGGTCTGTATCCTTTGAGAGCCAAGGCGCTCCCCAAGCCAGGCCCAGGCCTCTCTGATGAGTCCACCACCCCTGAGCCCCCGCCCCCAGCATCCTGGCCACAGGTCTCAGGGCAGCAGCACTGCAGTGAGGTTGGGGGATGCAAGTGCCCCATTGGGGCTGTTTCGGGCCACTCTGGTATAGTTGTGGCTCAGATCTTGGAAGGGGCATTTTGAGTTGGAACCATTAAAACCTGTGGATCCTGGCAGACTGGGAGCATCCCACAGGCTGGAACTAAGTCCCAGCCCTGCAGCCTCCTGGCTTGTTGACAGAAGGCAAGTGCCTCAGCCCTCTGTGCCTCAGTTTCCCCACCTAGAAAGGCTTTTTTTGTAGACTGATGTATTTATAGGTGAATGCACACCTATGGGCAGTCAGAAAACATGACTTTCCCCCGGCAGGTGCCCCGCCCCATGAATATAAAATACTTAAAAGTCTAGTTCCCATGAAAATAACCGAAAGAAGGGCTCAGCAAAGTGAGGGTGCTTCCCAAATCCTTCAGGAAAGCGGACATCAGGTATTTTCTTTTTACTGTTTGGTTTTCTGAGACAGGGTCTCACTATGTAGTTCAGGCTGGAGAAGCTCACTACATAGTCCAGGGTGGCTTCAAACTCACGGTGATCTTCCACCTCAGCCTCCCTAGTGCTACGATTATGGGCACGTGCAGCCACGCCTGGCAACATTAGCACCTTGTGAGCAGCTCCCAAGGACAGAGGGGACAGCTGCTCCCAGCCAGGACCCGGTCTGGCCTGCACAGTTGGTGGGAGGTGTCTTGTGTGCCAGGCCGGCGAGCCGGTTTCCAGCAGCGTAAGTGGACTTCTTAACTGCAGTCCCCAAGCGGGGCTGGTGGCGAAGGCAGCATCTCTCCCTGCACAGGTGCTGTCCCTGCCCCATCGGCGGCTGGTCTGCTACTGCCGGCTCTTCGAGGTTCCGGATCCCAACAAGCCCCAGAAACTGGGGCTGCATCAGCGCGAAATCTTCCTGTTTAACGACCTGCTGGTGGTATGTGGGTGGCTCATCCGGCCCTGTGTCTGCTCCTGGGGGTAGGGCAGGGGATGGCCCAAGGTCTTTTGGGTTAGGAGGGACAGAATTCAACCCAAACTGGTGCCCACGGAAAGGATCAGGGCATTTCCATCTCAATCCCTGCAGTTTTTTTCGAGACGCCCCCCTCCACCCTGCCAACAGGGCTCCTCTCCTCCGTCTACCCCAGAGCAGGCTGTTCCTTTGGAGGTCTCTTCACGGGCAGACACTGTCCAGGAGGGAGGAAGGAAGGTGACTGCAGTTCAGGCCTACCGCAGGTCAGAGCTAGTAGGGTTCCTGAGCTTTGTGAGCTTCTCAGAATGAGCCTGCCGCTCCCAGCCCCCAGTCAATCGCTGTGGCTCTTAGGAGCAGTGCGTTCTGATTGGCTCGCACAAGCCCCACCCCTTGGAGCTTAGAGGAAAAGAGAGTTCTCTCCTACAGATTAGACTGAGGGGTGTGGGGGTCTCTGAGTGAGGCCCCAGGGATTGTGTTCCCCAGCCCAGGGAAGGCTCATGCTGGGCCTGCACCAGATCTGGCTTCTCCCCAGGTTCGGTCCCTGAAAGAGCAAGGGCCCTGACTGCCTGTCCCACTCTCCAGGCACCAGGTCCCAGGCAGACAGGCACCTCTCATTTGACAGGGCCATAAGGGGGCCATGCACAGTGATGGCAGCACCTCTCTGCTGCACCGGGGGGCTGAGTTCCCCGCCAGGATGGCATCCAGGACTCACAGGGACAGGAACCACTGTCCATCGTCTACCCAGGTCAACTGAGCACAGGGCTCTGGGCCTAAGGAAGGTCCCCAGTTGCCGCGTAGTCCTCACAGTTCTGAGGCCTAGCTCTGTCTGCAAACCCTCAGGTTACCAAGATCTTCCAAAAGAAGAAGAACTCAGTGACTTACAGCTTCCGGCAGTCCTTCTCCCTGTACGGCCTTCAGGTCTTGCTCTTCGAGAACCAGTGTGAGTCTGCGCCAGGGGCACCACCTGCGTCCCCTGCGATGGGGCGTCTTCCTCCATCCTTCACCCACCTCAGCACAGCAGGCAGCTGCGAGTGCAACTGGCCATGGGCCCCGGGTTCCCAGGCAGAGCCCCAAATCCTGGAGTATGGTGGAGCCCATATTTAAATCTCCACATCAGCATTTAAATAGCTTGGGCTACGCTTGAAAAGGCAGAAGGCTTCGTGTCACTCGGAGTCGCTTCCCACGTGGCAGCAAGCAGCTGCACACGTGCACACATGTGTGCACAAACACACACACACACGCCAGCGTTCCATAGTCGCTTGCAGCTGCCTGAGGCCAAGACCCTCGACATATCCAGCAGGGAACGTGCAGACAAGGGCTTTCCATGACCAGAGCCAGAGCCAGGTAGCACCAGGGAGGGCACTGTGTGTGCCAGGAGCTGTGGCACTCCGGGGAGAGCAGCTCTCAGCCTGTCGTCCAGAGCTGCCCAGGTGATGGGCAGAGATACCCCACCCTCTCTGTCCTCCAGGACTCAGCGCCTGGTGGTGGGCAAGGGCCTCAAGGTGAGGGCCATCTTTCTGACGGTCGGGCAGGCCTGGCAGCCTTCTGCACCAGGCTGTGTTGCCCCCACTTAGTGTGCAGGCAGAGCCCCAGGTCGGGGACATGCGACCATCCATGCGCGCCCTGATTCTGCTCCTGAGGCAGAGCTCACAGTGCTTCTAGGCTACCCGTGTGCTGGTCCCTGTGACCAGCATGGATACTGCAGAGAGTGCACTGCGCCCACGCCCGCCCCTCTCCCTCACAGATTACCCCAATGGCATCCGGCTCACATCCTCTGTGCCTGGGGCAGACACCAAAGTGTTAATCACCTTCAACGCCCCCAACCCTCAAGACCGGAAGAAGTTCACCGATGACCTGCGGGAGTCCGTGGCAGAAGTGCAGGAGATGGAGAAGCACCGGATAGAGTGTAAGTCCTGCACCCTGCAGGCAGGGCACTGTCCCTCAGGCCCCCCAGGTTCCCCATGCTAGCTGGGCTCCCACCTTTGCCTTGCTGTCTCTGACCACGGGGAAGGGGCCTGCAGTCCCCACTGGCCTCCACAACACCTAGAGGGATAACGATGCCAGGGACACTGCCAGTGAGGGGCCAAGAGGGGACAGCCTGCTTCCCTGGGAGCACAGTCCCTCCTGTGTGAGCACAGCCTCTGACCAGGGATGTCCCCTCGCTGCTCAGCCACCCACGGACAAGAACTGGCAGGGTCTGGGGCCGAGCCCTTTGCCCTCACCGTGATTCTTAGCCACTGGTCCTCAGGGGTGCAGTCCCAGGTCACTTCCCAGAGACACACGCTGTCCCCTCCTCTGCCGCCTCTGTGAAAGCACCTTGCTGAGCCCTGCTTCCCTGCCAGACCCTGCCAGCCCTCACCTCCCCACCTGCCCAAGCTGGACGTGCCAGTCATTGCTGCAGCCTGGCATCCCCTGGGTCCTGCCCAGGTCTTCATCTGGTAGACGGGGACCCAGGCCAGAGCCAGCCCTGAGCAGAAGGCCAGGGTTGCCTGTGTCTCCTGCCCGAGCTGCCCTCCCTCAGCTCTCCCCCTCTTACCTGCCTGTCACGGTCACTTCCAGCGGAGCTCGAGAAGCAGAAGGGCGTCGTGCGGCCCAGCATGTCCCAGTGCTCCAGCCTCAAGAAGGAGCCCGGCAATGGGACCCTGAGCCGGGCCTGCCTGGACGACAGCTACGCGGGCGGCGAGGGCCTCAAGCGCAGCGCGCTCAGCAGCTCCCTGCGCGACCTCTCAGAAGCGGGTAAGAGCCTGGCGGGAGCTGCCTCCTTAGCCAGGGCGCACAGGACCGAGGCTGGGCGGCCGGTCGGGGGCAGAAGCAGAAGGATGTCCCGGAAGGGCAAAGAGAGCAGGGCCCGCCTGTGGCCAGAAGAGAGTGCAGGACAGCCGAGGGCCACCCCTTTCCTCTCCTTCTTCCGGGGCCTTTATTCTTTCACTCGGCTTCTGAAAACCGCTCCAAGGCCAAGAGCGTGGCCAGCGTGTCCCATGTTCTCTGTGCTGCGCGTTCCGTGTCCGCTGCTGATGAATGAAATTGAGTGAAGCCCCCTCAGCTGCCTGTACGCCCCTTTCTGGGTTCCCACGCGTGCTTTCCCCTGCAGGGGCCTCCAGCCAGCCCGAGGCGGTCGCCGCAGCCTGCGTGGCGGGCTCCGGGGTCCTGGGAAAGCCCTGGTGGAAATCTTGGTTGTTGGTGGTATTTGTTTCTGTGTGTGTTTAAATTTGCTACCAGCCACTTAGCCCAAGCAAGCAGCAACCCCCAAGCCCCTGGGTTTCCAGGAGGGAGGGCACTGTGAGCCTCAGGGACCTTCCAAGACAGCCTTTTCTAGCCTCTGAGCAGGAATAGAGCCCTCAGCCACCTGCAGTATGGCTGCAGCACTGTCAGTGGAGGGTGAGGTGAGGGCGTGTGCCCCAGCAGCCATGTAACTACCACGAGTGTTTCAGCCAGCTTCCCCTGGGGGAGGGGGGCTGAGGGGAGGGGGGTTTATAGGGAATTGTTACCCTGGTGGCATATAGGCCCCAGAAGCCTGATACAGACCTTGGCCAGTAAGACCCTCAGAGTCTGAGACCAGCCCCCTTCCCTTCTCGGCTTACCCACCACCCTGCCCTGCCTCAGGCCCTGGCTTTGGCCAGTGTGGGGCCCAAGAGCCTGCTCAGGGTGCCATCCCATTCCCCACCTGCGGCCCTGCCTCACACAGCTTACTCATTTCTCAAAGTTTTTATCCTTGTTTTTCAGTTGAAATTTTTTCTTTGCTTTTGTCACTTTTTTTTCCATAGCAAAACCCCAAAATTCATTGCCAGCATGAGGGATTAAGGCAGGGCTTCTCAACCTGGGCACCATGGGCGTCTTGGCTAAACAACCCCAGCCTTGCAGGAGGCTGCACAGCGCCCCTGTCCTGTCCTGACTGTCCTGGCGTCTCCACAAGTGGCCAGGTGACCCCCAAGCCCAAGTTGAGAACCTCTGGCTTTCTTGGTCATCTTGTTCACCCAGCTACATGTTGTGGGACTGCTTGGGCCTCTGCAGGCGTGGCCGGGCTCTGTTTGAGTTTGTGCAGTGTGGCAGGCTCAGCCCCCTCCCCCAGGAGCTGCCAGGGAGCCCCTGTGCAGCCCACCCAGTGGCAGCAGCTCCACGGCCAGCCACAGCCTCTCCACGTTATTGCCACTGCGTCTGGAGACCCTGAGGCCTGCAGGCCTCCCAGAGCGCCCCCGTGCCTGGAAAGCCTGGGGTAGACTGAGGAGGGGCCTGAGGAGACTGCTGGACAGCCGGCTTGGAGGCTGGAGGATCCGTACCCTGGACCAGCTGTGCTGTGAGCCCCCTGCAGGCAGGCAGCACAGTGCCGTAGCTCTCTGTGGCCCTCACCATGGAGAGCCTGGGGGAGTGACACCAAAACGGCTAATGCCTGTGACCTGCCCGGTGCATGTCCGTCCAGGAGACGACACACTAAGGACCCAGCCTGAGCCCCACATGACCTGGACCAGGGAGGTGGCCCCAGTCTGCTGGCCCTGGAGGGAATCACTGTCACCCCAAGCTGGGGAGGCAAGGGCACCGGGCTCTGGCCTCAGCTGCTGCCTCTTATCCAGGGCACAAGAGCCAGGTGTGCCCAGACCTCAGGGCCCGCCCCAGCTCAGGCATGTGACAGTGGATGCTGCGCAGGCCATCCTCCTCCCACTGTGCCTTCTCTGCTGAGCTGGCCAGCACAGGTCCCCATGGAGAAGATGTCCCTGGGTTTGCTAGTGGCACCAGTGATACTAAGGGTGGGTGGACAAAGCATCCTTTGCAGCCACCATGACATACCTAAGGCCAAGCTCTGACATCTAGCATCCGGAGCCAGCCCACCAGGCCATGTCCCCACTGTAGTGCGGAAGGTTGATAAGTGCAGAGCATGCAGAGCCAGCTGTGGCTGCCAGGCCCAGAGAGGGCGGCATGGAACAAGGACTGCACAGCTGTGTCCCATCCTACTGCAGTGGCCCAGGCTGTGAGGACTGGGTGCCAGGTCTGACCTGATCCAAGAGGGCATCACTGCCCCCCACTCTGCATCCTGCAAGATCACGCAGAAGGGCCTATGCACAGAACGCTGCGGGTGGCACCTCTGGTTGCCAGCTGGCCAGCAGGGCTCGCTGGCCACAGGTGCTGGGTATGCCTGTGAGCTAGAGATACGTCCACATCCTGGGCCGAGTTACAAGTTAAAGATCACCCTTCGGAAACATCAGTCTGAGCCCATTTAAAGGCCCTCTTGTCTTCGCCCACAGTGGGTGAAGAAGAAGGAACAGGAGAAAGGCCTTGTTCACCCCCAAACCCAGCTCTGCCAGTCCAGCCCAAGACTGCCAGGCACACCAGGTGGACAGAAGTGGGTAAGGCAGGGACAGGAAGCTGGCTGTCCTCTGCCCCTGGTTTTTAGTCATTTGCAGGAGTCCACTAACCCTTTCAAGGGCCAGAGAGCAGATTTTAAAACCCTGAAGAGCTGAGCATGGTGGAGCACACTTGTAATCCCAGCAGCACTCTAGGAGGCTAAGGCAGGAGGACACAAGTTCAACCCCAGCCTGGGCAACTTAGCAAAACCCTATCTCAAAAAAGGGCTGGGAATGTAGCCCGTGCAAAGGCCCTGGGTTCTGTCTCCCCTAGTGCAGCAAATAACCAACCGCCAAAGACAGGAGAGCTCAGACTATCTGCATTTCCTGTGGCACCACAGTACCCTGAGTGTCATATCCAGGAGGCCAGTGAGGGGAGACAGGCCAGGTGAGTTTCACAGAATGGGAAACTGAAGTCTGAAACCTAAGCACCTGCTTCAGGGAGACGGATCCGGCTTGTTCCCTGTCCCCAGACATTGCTGGGAAAGGGCAACCTATCTCTCACCTGTGGACAGAAGAGGAGACAAGGACCAGGGGCCCCCTCATCTCTAGGATGTGGCAGCACTGGAAATGCTCTGCCTAACGGTGGCAGAGGCGCCCACCTGGGCCTCAGCAGGCAGGGTGAAGGGGCCGGCCTTCCCCATCGGTGTGGCTGTCCCAGCCTGCTCATTTGACCATGGCAAAGCCTGAAGTTCCCCCAGCAACTGTCCCCAGCCAACACTGGTCTGGCTTTAAGGAGCAGCAGCATTTGCCCCAGAAGCTGGGGCACAGGATGCCTGAGAGCATGTGGCAACCTCTCGTGTCCCCAAGGCCCGGGGCAGCCTGGCTTTGCCTCCAGCATGGCGGCAGTGTGGCCAAGATGTCCAGCCCCAGTGAGGAAACGCTGCTCTGAGCCTCAGCGATGGTTGCTATGGGAACCGTGCCGTCCATCTCGGCCCGTCACAGCCTCAGCCCTTCTCCGATACAAACGGACCGGCGCCTGTGAGACTCTGGAGTGCAGTGAGGCACTACCCAGCACACACCAAGCACCTGTGTGCGCCCCTCGCAGGGGGCAAGTCCACAACCAGGGGACCCCGCTGGCTCCAGGAACACTGTGCCGTGCCTGAGAGGGGGCTTAGGAGGGGAGGGGCAAGGCCCCGTCACCCCACCGTCTGCTGACCCCAGCCAAGGCACTGCACAAACAGAACTCAGCCCAGAGGCCCCAGAGAGGTTTAGTTCCTCTAACCATCACCCCGCTGTGCCACAAGATGGGGACATATATATGTGCGTATGTGTGTGTGCGCATGTATATATGCAATCCACGGAGTAGGGCCCGGGCCAACCTGGGTGCTTGTGGTGAACGAGAAGCCACCTACGCGCCTTCCCCTCCACACACAGCTGTGGCCGGCCAGACGGGAATCGGGCGCTGGCCACCTGTGCACATGTCCCTGCCCCAGGATCCCTAACCACAGCCTGTGGTGCAGGACAAGAGCACAAAGCTGGAGCTGGCTTGAAACAATTCTCCTGAAGTCCTCACCAAGCACTTGGCACTGGGCAGGCGAGCCCAGCCCCTGCGCCTGCTCGGTGGCAACGGCAGGCGGCGGCGGCGGTGGCAGGCAGGCAGCAGGCAGGCGGCGCCCGGCCTGGCGTGCGTGTCTAACCTCTGGTATTGCATGTTCTGGGCAGGGAAGCGAGGGCGTCGCAGCAGTGCGGGATCGCTAGAGAGCAATGTGGAAGTAAGTAGGAAGCACCCCGTCCGGCTGGCTGTCCTGTGTCGCCCCATCCTTGGTTCTCTCTGTCGTCTGTCTGTCCTGCTCTGCCCGCTCCTGCACAGACAGGCAGATACGGCCCGCCCTGCCTGCCTCCGCCCCGTGCATGCGGCTTCTCTGCCTCCAACATCCACACCTCTCACCACTTGTTTTGGACCCACCGGTGGGGGGGTGGTTTTGGATTTTGTGTTTGCGTTTTGCTTAATCCCTGTGCCCTGTGGTCCCTGAGCATGGTTAACCACCCCAGCTTCCCGAACCCACCCCTGGGTCCCTGCCCCGGCCGTCACTGCCCCTCCACTGGCTGTGGGATGTGTGCACCCCACTTGGCTTCTGCACCCAGCCGCGCCATCGCTTCCTTCCTGGAGTTGGGCTGGCTGTGTCTGCAGCCAGGACACCATGGAATTGCTTAGCTGGCCCCGAGAGGACAGTGTTTGAGAGAGGAAAGTCAGTGTGGATTTCATGAGATTTCATTCATCCTCCCCATCCAACACTGTCCCCATCTTGGCCTCAGCTGGCGGATCTTTTTCTGTTTCTCCTTTCCTTCATTTGGTTGTAGGTAGGTAGGTAGCTGCAGCAAAATGCCTAGGCAGTCCACGCCCGCACGGACAAGGCTGCAGGGTCCCACCTGTCCGTGTCACCGCTCCCTTAGGCACCTGTGGGCCCCCGTGTGGGCAGAGCCGACAGCCCCAGCCCTGTGGGAAAGTCCCAGGCACGATCAGGGCGCAAAGTCAGCAGGAGCCGGACTGCTTTTCCACGCGCACTACCCCGCCCTGCCCCATCCCTGGGACCTGAGCCCTCAGGCAGGCGCCCTGCACGATGTTCACAGCGCATGTGCACTGTGGCACAGAATGGAGGTGCCTCCTCCCCTGCTTGCACCCCCACGGAAGAGGTAGCCCACATCCAGCCCCACTCCCTCTGTGGCCAGTGAGCAGAACTGAGGGCTTAGCAGTCAGCGGGGGAATTTTTACATTGAGAAAGAAATTCATTCGACCTCCGTGCTGTAAGATCTTTTAATTTTGATTTCTATGAATTTCCTTTTTAGGGCTCCATCATTAGCAGTCCTCACATGCGCCGAAGAGCTACATCAACACGAGAGTGTCCATCTCGCCCACACCAGACCATGCCCAACTCCTCCTCCCTCCTGGGCTCCTTGTTCGGGAGCAGGCGAGGGAAGCCCCCTCCCCAGGCCCACCCGCCCTCCGGCCCCGCCCCTCCGCTCCCCCACCCGCAGCACCACCCAGGGCCCGTGGAGGGTCCAGCGCATGCCCATCACGCCCAGTACTGCCACTTGCAGCAGAACCCGCCCCCCTACCACCACCACCACCACTACCACCCACCCCAGCACATCCAGCATGCCCACCAGTACCACCACGGCCCCCACGGGGGGCACACCGCCTTCGGCACCCACACCCACACCCACACCCATGGCCACCCACCGCTATCCGGAGCCCACACTGGCCATGCGGCCCACGCAGCGCACCACCATGGGCAGCCGCCTGCCCCGCCGCCCCCAGCCAGCAGCAAGGCCAAACCCAGCGGCATCAGCACAATTGTGTAGACAGCCGGGTGGGGGACCTGGCCTCCCCAGAACCACCGCACACCACACAGGGGCCGCTCGGGGCACCTCTGTTTCCAGCTCCCCGTGCCCCTCTCGGCCAAGATGGTGCCCAGAGCCCGCGGGCTCGCCTGCCGTGGGACAGACACCTGCCTGCCGCAGCCTGTGCACCCTGGCTCCCTTCCCCTGGCGCCAAGGCTGGCTCCGCAGCCACCGTCAGCCTCCAACGGCCGCCGGCTGAGTAGACAGGGACTGCCGTCCACCCAGCCCACTGCAGCCCTGCGCTCTGCTCCCTCTTGTCCCACGTATATGAAAACCCAGCCTAGAGAAAGAAGAAATGAGATATTTTTAACGAACAGAGACAAAACACAACAAAACCCCAAACTTGCTGCATTATTGCTCTGTTATTGACAATGGGCAAAAAAAAAAAAAAAAGTTAAGTAGACCTGATATGGTTGATGAACATACGTAAGTAAACTTTATATAATATAAATATATAAATATATAAATATATATATATACATATGCTGTATAGGTAGTATTTGTGTGTGAAAGACAAGCGTTTCAGTACACAAAATTAGCAATAGAGACCATTGAAGGACCTCCACTCACATGATAGGAAGACAGTGCTTAGACGAGTGTGTGAGAAAATAGACCAAAAACTTCCCTGTTAGGAACTAATTCAGATCCTCCCATATTTTCATACTAAATAAATAAATGTCCCTCTAGGACTGACTTAAATCTTACACAATCATTACTAACTGTGCCAAGTACATAGCATCTGTTTAAAGCTCCAAACTGCTTTGTATAAATCCTTATTTTATTAACAGATACTACCCTAAATAACCAGTATTATAATTGCTGTTACTTCAGGTGAGCGTCTAGGTACAACGCAGTCACCTCTGAGTAGCAAGTGGGGACAGCTAGCTAAGAGCCAGTCGTCCCGGGACGTTGGCCGCAAGCTCCTTGGGCACTTTGTACCAGGCTGCACTGACTGTGAACCCCTCCCCCACTTCCCTTTCTCTGCATACGGTTCAGCGCACTCATCCCATTCCCGAGGGGCTCGTGCCCTGCACAGGGGCCCATCTCTGCCCTGACAGTGACCCACTCGTCCTCCTCTGCCCCACACCACAGCTCCCTCAGCCCTGCACTGGCCTGCAGGCAGGACCCCGAGAGCAGCCCCCAGGCAGTGCTGAGGCCCTCAAAGGCTGTTGCCTGCCGAGCAGCCCAGGGCGGGGCGGTGTGTGTGTCCCGTGCTGTGTCGAGAGGTAGCAGTGATCACCGTGATTCCATGTGGCCATGCGCTCGTCAAACCCCCGTGTCATCGCCGTGGCCACCCATGTGACTCTGGCCGCCGAGCACCGGGCCCTCGCCGGGCAAAGTCCCTGCTACCTGTCCTGGTCCCGTGAGCTGCCCGGGCACCACCTGATTCTCAGCTGTGCTCTTGTTGCTTCTGTGTTGTGGTGACGCCGTGTGCTCCCTGGAGCGGGCGCTGCCCTCCTGCCCGCCCCCCCGACCCCGCACCAGGTCTGTTCTCAGTCACCCACAGGCGTCTTTGCGGTTTCAGCCTTTCCAGCCACTGCTCCTGCCAGCACTGCGCTCCTAGGCCTCGAGACCCGAGCGAGGATGGCCCCTTGGCCCCGCTTGGGTGGCAACTGCAGGCCACGGGGCTCCACGTTGGGACGACGTGCAAGCTGGGGCTGGAAGGCAGCGGGAGACCAGAGCCAGGTCTAGCCGCGTCCCCCTGGCTGGCCGGCTGGGGGTTCCCCGATTTTCCTCCTCATCCCCCCACTGTCATGTCATTGAGGTCACCGTACCAGCAGATCTGCAAACAGCACTTTGTTATCTCCACAGAGAGCGAACCCAGCAATCCAGAGTTTAGCCTTCTGTGACAGCAGGGACTGCAGTGCCCAGCCCTGCCCTCCCAGGGCGGCATTTCTTTCTCGGCCATCTGCTCAGAAAGCACAGTGACGGCACGGGCGTGTCCCATCGGGTCGAGCCAGGCCGGTGAAGGCCGCCTGGGTTCACTGTCCTCCGAACTCCTCACCTTCCTTAAAGCTGGGCTCCCAGGCCTCGCCGTGTCTCGCAGTTAAGGACGCTGTTCTGATGAGGACAAGTGGAACTGTACTGCATGTCACCTGGCGTCAGTCGTGTGAGGCTACACTCTCTGTATTGTACATTTGCAAAATATACAGTGTTGCTGTGGATAAATAGTTGAAGTAAAAAGTGATAACGTATTAAATCCATCGGCCTCTCTTCACCCTCTTCTGTACCAGGGTCAGGGTCCCTGGACCTGTAAACTTGAGGTTGCTCCAGAAAAGACACATGTTGGGTCCAGAACTGCTCTTTCGCTCGTGACCAACACAGCAGAAAGGGTTGCCTGGAGCAGGAGGTCCCTCCCTCTGCAGCCTGTACCCACTGTCCCTGAGTGTCCCGGGGCTGCGCGGTGGGGCCTAGGACCCGGCTTCTGCACAGACTCTGTCTCTTTCTGGGTTTCCCACTCCAGAGGGTACTGGGGTCAGGTCAGTGAAGTCTGGTTGGGTGTTTCCCCCCAGTTGGGGAAGTGTGTGTGTGGAGTTCAGGGCCCAGGGTCACACCTCCCACATCTGGCTTAGGAAGCACTAGGCCAGCTCAGCTCAGGAAGCATGCTGGGGCTATGATCCAGGGATCCCCCTGTCACACAGCACTGTCCCCTCAGCACCTGCACACAAAGCGTCTCCTTGGGTCCCCACGGAGCTCCTGACAGGCGCAGAACATGGCAGGGGGTTGGGGAGCAACTGCCGACATCACAGAAAAATCTTTTCTAGGACAGCAATGAAATCATGGATTTTTTTTTTTTTTTTTTAGTTTTGAAAGGAGTTGTACAGTGATGTCAAAATAAAAGTTCATCCTCATGTGACCCCCACTTAGTGCTTAAAAACACACACAGCTGCCTCGTGGAGGGTCTTTCCTGCCACCAGCGAGCTGGAGGCACAGCGGATATGTCACCACACCTCCGGTGTCAGCCCTGTGTCCCTGGGTGCAGTGGGGGTGTGGGGACAGGATGCCCCAGGTGGTGGCTTTGCTAGTGCCGACCTCTCATCCACAGCCATACTAGTGCTGCCCCCCAGGTGCTGGCGTGTTGGGAACCCCCATTCCCTTTCGATCACTTTCCACAATTAGATCAGGTCTCGGGCGCCCTCTGTCCCCAC